CCAGGAACGGCCACCGCGCGTCCTTCACGTTACACCGCGACACGAGAGCAGAGGAGACCGAGTCGGAGGAAGGGCGAAACGCGTTTTTCAGAGGTAGGGGACGCTCACATAGTTCTTAGGAAGGGGCCAGGGGATCATTGCCGAGTCTGGAGATGGTCATGGCCAGCAGCTGGCCCATGTCCACAAGCTGGAATAAGGCTCCTGCAGAGTAGCAGCAGCACAGGGAAGGTATCCATCCTCCTTGAGCGCTTCCTCCAAATATTCACCTGGAATTCCGGGTCAAGAGCTTGCCCAGCGGACTCCTGTCAGGCAGGGCCTGTCCTTTTGAGAGCTCTGTGGTAGTTCCACTTCATGGCATTTTCAATATAAAAAAAAAAACTGAAGATATTTCAGAGTAACCTGGTCAGTCTGAATCACAAAACTGGCAAGTGAGCTGAACCACAGAATTAAAGCAATTTTTGACTATCTCAGTTATACTTGGAGAGAATGAAGAAAACACCAAACACTGCACAGTGCAGATGCACCTTTCTTCCTATGATCTCTACGTAAGGAGCAAGATGCACCAAGAGAAACACAGTTTAGCTTAAAATTACAAAGTCAGAAAAACTGCAGCATTTGTCTTTCAAAATACAGATACAGCCTTCTATTTCAGAGTGCTACTCTGACTATAAGCAGTTGCTCTTAGAAAGTATGACACTTGACACTTAGTCAAGGGGCTCCTAGAAACACCATCTGTAAAACAAGTCCTCTAGAGAATGACCTGCATCCACCACAGGACTGAAGAAGAATTTTGACCAAAAGCTTTACAAAGTTCTGCATTTATAAAAAGCATTAATTTCCAAAGACAGCAGCTTTTGATAACAGCTGCATTTAAGTCATCTTTCTACATAATCAATATGGAGCACATCTGTCAGATATGATAATTTGACACTGAAAGAAATCACACCTTTCACCAAGAATCTCTTTTCTCTGCAATAGATACAGTTTAGAAACCCTCCATTCCTAATTAAAGTTTGGTGCTTTTTTTCTAGTCACTACAGATTTTTCCATAGGTGATACGAGCAAATCTGTAGCATAGTTGGGCACTGACACCCTCTCCACCAAACTACACACTAATATCACTTCATGAGAGATTCTATTACCACCAACACTTAATCTCACTTTGGAATCTGACACAAAATCAACTGTTGGGAAGTCTTAAGCTGCCATTGCAGCATTCATCAAGTGTATGATGTGGTAAGTTTGCTGAAACATGCTAGCAAATTCCAAGCTACATACATGTGTGCTGTGTAGTATGCACAGTTCCTCACTCCAGGTACTATTCTTGCTTGTCCAGTGAAAATAAGGAAAAATGCTTGGCATAGATGCCCAACTGCACCAAGATAGATACATTATGTAGTATTCCAACTAGTTCCAACCTTTTTGTAAACTAATATTCTCCATTTTAGAATTCTGATACTTCAGAGACTTCGATCTGCTTCAGCACTGTCTCTCTACAACATCCTCCTTCAATGCTTTCCAACAGAACATGCCTTTGTCATGCTAGAAGGGAGTCAAGCACATTAAAGCAATCTAATCTGGCCTCATCATTCTTTAATGACATCTGCTCCAAAGTATCTTTGCCACTTCTGAACATTTCTCCCATGGTAGAACTCAATTCATAAAACCTCACATCCATGTAAGCAGGCCACTGGCCCAAACATCTCTATTTCAGTTGCACATCATAGTAAGAAAATGCTATTAATTATCACCACATTTTTCATATAAAATCATGAAATCTCTAAATCATAAGGTGACTTAGGGACTTTTCTTGACAGGGCTGAAGCTATTTTTTCACCATGATTTTCACTTTTAAGAGAAAGTGCCATTTGGAGGTGAGTTTCCTACAATATTTTATCTTACTATAAAGTTTAAAGTTTTAAAATATGCCATTCCAACTTATTCATGGTTTTAAATCTTAAAACATACTAAGCTTTGTAGATTTAGAAATATAAATATGACAGTTACCCATTTGTGTTCATTACTACAAAAAGTAAAGAGGTCCCAAAATTAACAGCCATCTCACCATTAAATGATGAAGTGCAAAACATCAGAGTGGAATCATCCATAGTAAATGTTCTCAAACTGTTTAAGGGACAGGAAAAGAACCCTTGTGCTGTACACTCATTCACAAAAGCTTACACTACAGAATTAGGTAAGCATGTATACATCTTACAAGAAATAGCACGTCTGCAACCGGAAGCTGTAGAACCACTCAGCCATGAGGAAAGACAAAGCTACAATTCCATCATCAAGAAAAAGGTCCACACAGAGGGCTGGCTATTCTGTACGGCACAATATATATGGAGAGCAGCAAGACATTCATAGAACTGTAGTCTTTCACTAAAAATAAGCTTTTATGAGAAGTTGATTTTTTAAAAGGAAATTTTTGAAATTAGATGATCATAATACTTAATGTCTATCCTAGAAACCACATGTAAGCAGTAAAATAAGCAAGACTGCCAGCCTTGCATGTTCATACACACTACATACTGGAAGTATTGGAATTAAAGTAAACAGGCTGTCAAAGTGTCCAGTTAACTGTCTAAAAATTTGCATCAATTTAGGTGAGTTTCAGTTATGAAAGGGGAGATAGGACAGCCCTAAACAGAAACTGTTCACTTGTGCTTTCAGAGCACAACACAAGTGATGCAATTGTTATGAAGGGGATGCAAGGTAACTTCAAGTTAACATTGGCTGTTGAACAGTATCTTGCACATTAAACTCTTTGAAACTGTGATACAGAAACAAATGTAAGAAAACTACTCATGTCTTGAGATTAAAATCTGTGAATTGTAGATCTAAAATTAAGACATGGGCAATTTGCCTTCATCTGACATCAAGATCTGCTCTTATAGTAACCATATGGGTATCATTAGAGATAGAAGATTAAGCATTCATTAATAATAAAACCTGACCATGGAATTCTCTTGACTTGCATGTATCAGTGCCAGGTAGTAATCCAATCAAATGCCACTTTTTTTATAAAAAAGTCTACATATGATACCAACACTTAAGCTAATTAAGAACATATACTTTTGATAGTAAGACAAAGTTTAAGCACAATAAAAAATTAAGATATTTAATACATTTACTTCAATATTAAATTGCTCAGCTCCTGAATGGATTAATTTGCATATACCAGCTCTTACAAAGAAATAGCAACGATTATCAAATAGATTTTCAAACTTTTATAAACAGTGCATAATTCTGTTGCCCTGATAAACGTACAAACACCGGTTGATGCATCCAAGAACACCTCTTAAAGACAGACATTTACATGTTTACAGCTATTATCAGAACCTCCCATTTAAATCCCTTTTTTTTTTTTTTTAAAAAAAAAAGTGAAGTTAGTGCCAGTAAAGGGTGCCAAACCAACAGTTTTAGAAATGAATGCTTCATCCACAAAGATGACACAGGCATTTAAAGATTTCCTATACCTCTGCAAGATACCTATATTTTACCTGTGCAGATAACTGATATTATGGTTAGAATTTTTTTTAGGCAGTTTCCAAGCTCTGCTGAAAACCACTGGAGTTTCTGTTGGTCACAACTGATAGTCATCCAGAAAGAACTGGACTGAACTCAAAACATACTCACCACTGAACCAGCAACAGCCTTAATTTAAGGAGGCAGAATCTACATTTGCCACTTAAAATGGCAAAAGATCTGGTATCCTATTAGTTATCTGAACAGTTCAGTTCCCAGTACCCCTTAGTCAAAAATCCCTTTGGCCAACAGACTGAAGTTCACAGAACTACAGTTCTGTATTCTGAGAAATGGACTAAAAAGATACCAAAGTTTAAGCTCGCTCTAGCAAGGTAAATGAGTTCCACTTGTATCAGAAATGTGAATGCCACCAAGCCTCTCCACACTTGCTAAGGACTACATTATGGACTGTTAATATCCAAAAAAGATAAGGTTTCTTTAACCGCTGGGAAATGCATTTGACCATTTACAGCAAAATATATCATGCTTTTTGTACAGTAACGAAAACCGTCATTTATGGTCTTATCTACCTACAAATGAATTCCTCTTGCAGGTACACATCATTTTGTTAAGAGTCATAAAAATATATATTATCTCTTTCCTTTAACATTTAGGTATATAAATATTTTACTGAAGAACATGCATCATTTAGATAAACAATTGCAAGAATGTCCTCTAAAAACATAGGGTTCTTTGACATTTAGCAGTATAAAATGATTACATATAAAGGTAGCTATTAAAGTCAAGACTTAAACCATTACAGCAGTGAACACTCCATTGTGTGCTAATTCAAAGTTAAGCACCTTTTGTAACAGGTTATATAATATATATACACACATACACACACATTAATGAATGCATTGTAAAGGGAGAAAAAATGGAATCATTCCATCTGCATATTCTTCTGTCCCGTTTGGATTCCAAACTTACTGTTCATTTCTCTGCTCGTTTCCCATTCAGCTCTTGGTCAATTCTGCTTAAAGAAAGCAGTAAAATTGTTAATTTCTTAACTCATTTTAAGTCCAAATTAACTAACAGGAAGAGCTGAAAGCTTTCACACAAAATGTTTAATAAGCAAATATTAAGATCTTTACTGAATGCAGTCATAACAGTGCTTTAAAAAGACATCATCTTTTCTTACCTCCCCCTCAAAATGAATTAAGTATGTTAAGAAACCATTTAAGCAAGCATAGCATTTAAACAGTGCCAGTGAAATTTGACTGCATGACAAGGAAAGCAGATTCTGGGTTGTCATTAATGAATGAATGCAAGCAGGAATAAGTTTAAGTAACCTGACAGCTAATACTGTCATGCACTACTACTTTGCGTTCATATACTGCAGCATAAGCACAGAATTACCTTTAATCTTACAATAATTAAGCCAAGAAGAACAGAACCAGTTGAACCAAGAGAAGTTGCTCCTATACTGCAGTATCTTTTCTAATAATTTCCAAGACTCTTATGATTACCTGGAGGAAATCACCATCACACTGCTGAAGTTTTTCTTAAACCATCATCTTTAGAACTGACAAAGATGATCTTACTTTGCAGCAACCACTATATTTTTAAGTAGTCCTGCATGAGATGTAAGTGTGTCTTGTTAACTGCCCAATTGTATACTCTACCTCTTCACTTTCTCAGTCACCAGACAGTTCAAACTGGTAAAAGCAACAGCTGCTTTCTCTAGGCAATGAAGCCCCAAAAAGTGGAGGCACGTATTCTCTACAACACTACACTGGCTATACAAATTGAGCTTAGTACAGAAGTATTCAACATTTTGGAACATTATCATCTACAAATCAATCTTAGTCAAGTACATGCATGGCATGCACTGCAAATGGTCCCTGTCCTCCCTGCAGTATCACAGGAAAGCAGGCTTTGACATGAATTAAAGGACCATTCACAAAAGTGTATTTAAGAAAATATAGTAAGCCAAAGCAAAAAAAGGGCTACATATAAGTATACAGCTAACAATATAATTTCATAAAATTGTAAACTATTCTTACTTCCATGATGACTAATATACATAGCCAAAGAACTCCCACTACCACAACAAATTTGCCTTGACAAATTGAGTAACTGAACTTTTCCCCTCATTCTGACAAATAATGCCTACAACTGCAGTCAAATCCAATTTAAGTCTCACCATCAGGTAGTGCTTATGAGCTTTCACAAAAGTGAAGTATTTTATCCTCCTATTTAAAATTGTTAAATAAGAAACACAAATGGTGATATTATTGACAAGGACACTCAAGAGCTGGCTGCCCTGAAACTTAAAGTTTTTACATTAGTCTTGGAATGTCCCACTCCCTTGAGTTTCTTTTACCCCATCTCTCAGTCTTCCTCTCTGCCTGTTACCTAACTCACAGACTTGAGACTCCCTCAGTAGTTATACACACATAGCAAGACTTGTCAAAAAAGTTAGAATTAGTTATCAAAATATTTCAGTACAATTGTTAGTGTGAAAAAACACATATAATCAAAAAAGTAATTTACTTCTGTAATAGCTTGAATGGTTAGCAGGGCACTGCAGATTAACAAAATGAAAACCCAATGTTTATCAGCAAGGAATTTAGGCACTGCAAATACAAACAGCACTAAAAATACTAACTCATTTAGATTGTATCTGTTCAAATTATTAAACAATGCAGCAAATACCAAACAAAAGCAAATAGCAGATTCAAGTTTAGGACTTCCCCCAATATTGCATTTACTGTCAACAGCACCTAAACCCAGCTCTTCATTCAGACATAACTTTTTACAAAACAATGAAGCTTAGTTAAATCAATTCAGGTAGAAGCATGACTTTCCCCTGGTGAAGATATAGTTGAGAATCTGCACTTCCCCTTAAAAAGGAGCAACTCATGTGGTACTAGGTACTATTTATCTAGCCAGGGTGTTATACTGCAGTTGCAGTCAGTATAGCTACTTCCATGCATAAACTTACTAGTGCATGTTTATATTTACAAATGCTTATTCCTTTAGGCAAGCCAATCAACTGGGAGTTAGTTGCAGTGCAAATGGTCTTATCTAGATGAGACCCTCATCAAAACATGAATATACCTTTTCTGTTTCTTTCTAAACTTTTCTTCTTCATACCTTGGTGAGGAAAAGTTTGATTTCAGTAAGTGAAAGATACAAAGGCCAAACTCAAAAGTTGCGTATTGGTATTAGTGTCAATATATTTTGTATAATGATACCAAGTTTGAAACTGATATAGGTAATATATTGTACTCCCAACTGCTGTAAGCCTTAAACAAGAAGCATTAAGATTTAGTTACTGTATCATAAGATATGAATCCAATGCAACATCTTGTACAGTATCTATCACTGAAATTTAAAGTCAGTATTCATAACAAAAATAAAGCCATAATAAGTCTATCAAAAAAGTTCAGAAATTGACTCCGTTAAGTCAGACAGCTCAGCCTTTACAGCAGAAGTAAAATTCATCAAAACAGACAGGAATCTTTCCAGATCTGGAATAAAAATCTGGATTTTGGTAACATATTCTTCAAAGCCTTATAATTTTTTTTTTTTTTTTAAAACTTAACACAAGACAAGACTACAGCTTCGACATGTCTTTTTCCACAGAGAAAACCACATCCTTCCTATACTAAAAATTTGAATTTTCCAGCCGATACCAGCTGTAATACTTCAGTAATTGCTACCCTCAGACAGATGTGCTCTTCTCCCTACAAAGTAACACTATGCCATCCTTACCTATAGAGATCCCACTTTGCCACCACACTTAAATCATCTGTTGTGAACCATATTCTACAGGTTCTCTATTTTTATAGCTCTTAATAGGAGGTTCAAACCCTGTCCCCCATCAAATCATTAGTATTTCCAAACAGTTCTTAAGTTAATGATCATTATTCTCTTACTGGATGCAGTCATCCACATGTTCTGCTTAAAAAAAGAAAAAGGAGTCATCACTGTCCCTGAGGGCATATAAAGAATTGTGCTGACAATAAAGTTATACCATGTGTCAAAGAACTGGAATAAAGGAGCAGTGAGGCAAAGTGGAAAGGACAAGCACATGGTGCTCCCTTTCTCTCCTCCACAGCACTTTTAGAATACTATGGTTAAGGATTCTTCCACTGCAAATAGATCAGGATTTTCGAGTACTACTGCTTAGCTTGCTGTACATTTTGACATGAAAATGGCAGATACCTATAGTAACTTTAGTACTAACATGCTCAGAATCTCTCAAGCCACTTGAATATACAAGTGGAAGAAAACTGCAGTGAAGCCTCATCCCAATGATTCATATGCCTTAATTTGGTACCTACTTAAGTCAGTTTATATGACTATTACTATTTATTAGTATTTTGATCATATATGCTGCTGCATACAAAATTGTATCAGCAACATGGTCATATCCTGGAGATGCCAATGATATAAATTAACACAAACTTTATTAAATACAGAGCTTTATGTTCAAAAGCTAATACATATACATACTGTTACTAAAATATGATCAATTTAGAACATGTTTGAATAATAAAACGTACTGTTTTATGCACTCTGGGATGCCAACATACTCCATGGGGACAAGTTCAGCAAGTTCTGCCAACGTAAAGACATACCTAATTTTTTGACTGAATTTTGAGCTGTGGAAAAAAAAAAAACACACACACAGGGTGCAGTTACAACTTTTAAAATGTTTAGTAATATTAAAATAGTTTTTGAAGTTTAAATATTTTCCAGATTACCTAATAAAAGGTTTAGTGATGGCCAGAAGCGTTCTGATGAACCAAGAAGGATGAACTATTATTAATGATTTCAGATTTTTCCTTAACCTGAAGGATTCAAACAGACAACCACAAAATACAGAACAAAAGAAATATTACAAAGTTAGAATTTTAAGAGAATGTTTCTTTGCACCTTTTGACACAGTTGTAGTGAAGTACTAAAAAGCATCTCCTATATATCTTCTTTTAGTATTTATGTAGCATATTAAGGCATTAAGGTTTTACAACATTCTACACCGTAACATTATTCAACAATCTAACAATCTACTATTTCATTTTAAAATAGGTATGTCTGTAGCACTGTTTCCACTCTGCCTAAACTTAAGAAGAGATCATCAACATATCAAACAATTCACTTTAGTAAATCTTAGCTACCAGGTAGAACCACATTAAGTAGCATTTTTCCTACAATACATATTATTAGACAGATTAATATTTTAAGAAAATACCATAACAGAACTACTAACCTTCTGTCAATTTGCTGGTAACATTTCCTGAGCCATCCTAAACTTGGCATTTTCCTTCGTGTTGTTGCACCATTCAAGTAAACTATCATATAGTTCTCTGCTACTAACAGCTCTAAAGTGCCAATTACATACCTGCAAAGGTAAGCACAGAGAAAACCTTCAAATGAAGATATCGATATATAATATAGATATTATAGATATCTATAGATAAGTGTATATTATTTTAAAAAATTGTTCATGTTGAAATCTAGGGTTTGTTTTGCTTTGTTTTCCCTGGAAGTAAATGTAGCTGCTTTGTTATTTCTTAACGTTTCCCTCTCATCTCAAGTGTAAAAGACTTCTTTAAAGGGAGAAAGGCATAACCTCCCTAATATTAAATTACTGTATCTCACCATGGGAAATGAAGATTGTATTGGAGGCAGGTGACAACTTACTTAAATAGATTGTCCATTAGATATCTGTAGTTAGGCTGGCTGCTTTCTGGCATAAAACAAACAGCAAACACAACAATAGCATTTAACCCGTCACCATAATAACCTAAAAACAAAGTAGAAAGTACCAGTAAGTGACAAGAATAATTATAAGTTGACTATATTCACACAAAGAAAGTCAACCCTGCTTGATAAGCTTTTTCATTATACTTAAAAGCTTTACAAGAATCTGCAGGTAAATTCATACAGTTACAAGAATACTTACATTCATTCATCTACTCTTAAGGACATCACTGAGATTAAGGTAAATCAATTGCTGCACTTACACTTAAGATTTCTTCTGACAAACTTCACATACATTGCTGAGAAGAGCAAGTAAACTGACTCACTAAATCTACAGGCACTGCTTTCAACACTCAAAACCAAAAAACTATCCCAGTAGCACAGATAGTTGTATTTTATTACATATATTCAACTTAAGGAACATTCAGAATATTTGGGAAAAACCCTGTCATGTTTTAAAACTTTTTTTTTTATGTTTTGTATTTTGAAAGCCACTTTAGTAGCATCACCAAAGCACATGTGCGTTTTGGAACTTCAGTTTAACAGTATGCCTTAATGGTATAATTATGAATCATCAGCCACGATTCTTTTGGCTTAAAGTTCTTCTTAGCCCACGCCAACCCAGCTCAGAATAGCAGCATGTCACTAATGACAGCTTCTTACCACCATGACTGATGACTTTTTTATACGGTTCAATTGCCTTCATGTCCACCCTATGGTCCTGTTCTCCAATCCTAAACATACGCCAGCGCCGACCATCATCCTTCTCTTCCGCTGCAGTGTATTCTGTAAGCGATCCTTTTCTAATTACATCAGTAGTTTTTGGCTTTGGAAGGTCATCTACCAAATTTGAAATATATTCAAGATCCATTATGAATAATAATGACACCCAATTACAACACAGGTTAACCACTTTGTTATCTAATCTATTTTAGTATATTCTTCATTCAATTCACTTTTTAGCCGTTATAAAATGATTTAGTCATCATAAAATACAATATCACTTTTACAAAAATATTGGGTGTTAGCATTAATTTGCATCAAGTGTATTTTTTATACGTAAAGGGAGCCGTTTGCAGACTTCCAGAACACCAAAAGTTCACCAAAATAAACAAAGTGGTTAACTTCAGTGATTATTACAAAGGTTGCTTGATCACAGATTGACACAAAAGCATAATTTAAAATATCAACACTATCTTGCAAGCAAACATGCAGACATCTATTTGAAATTAAATCTAATTCATGTGTGCAATCAAAATATGAAATTTATGCTGACAGCAATCTGTGAAAGAATTTGCTCCAATTAAATTGTGATTCTTGACTTTGTTGCATAGACCTTACCCAAAGCGAGAAAACCTACTGCAAGTTAGTTGTCTGTTCCCAAGACAAAGCTGTTAATTGAAACTATCCTTCCAGGAAAATGAAGACAGCAGCATTAAAGGAAGAAAAGACAGAAACCCTTTTCAGCCACTTTTAAAAACAACACACAAATATCTGGAACATTTCCTTAGCATCATTGCAGAGTTAGCCCTAAACAATTCTTCTTCCTTAAAGTGATGAAAACAGACAAACCCATAGTCTCTGCTATGAAAACTTCACCTGCAACATCTCCTTGGCTATTAACAAAATATTTTTGTTTTAAAAAACCTTTTTCTCCAGTTACAGGCTATCTTAGAATGAAAAACAGGTTCTGTCTCACATGGAACAATGTAAAACAAAACTTATTTACTTGGGAATTGATTTCCTTATTTTCAGCATTAAAAAAAGAGCTTGCAGGTTCATTTATTTTAGATGCATTCTTAAGACATGAATCTTACCCAAATTACAATTCTAGAGAACAGTTCTAAGAGCTTAAAACATAATTAAACTGCACATATTAAATTCATGTGGACCTTGACATAACAAGTACTCTGTACAAATTAAAATTTTGTAGCATCTCAGGTTTTTGCCTCTAAAGATCAAAAAATGCAGTGTTTATTTATCTCGATTTTTAGGATAGTTTTTGTGGCACTTCTAGTGCAGGTACGGCTAACTTGGCTTTGTACTACTCACTTCAGAATTGACATACAGCAGGGATTCTGCTGCTGCTTCCAATTAATCTAGAACTTGCAAACTTTAAGGTTACCAACCTTTGTCCTTTTCTCATTACAACAATGTATCAGATATTTTTTTTAAAAACAACATTCAATCTACCTCAACAGAAAGTTTTGAAATTTACAGATTTCTGAAAAGATGAACTACAATGTAAATACTCTCTATATGGTTTGTCTCCATTTAAATTGGATCTATAATTCCCAGTTTCTCAGAAAAAAAACTGTAGCAGAAGGTTTGCCATAACTTTCAAGTTTTACAGATGTTGCTAACATTCACTTAGGTTTATTTGGCATTATGTTTATCTGTTTCCTAGTGAGTCAAGGTTACATTTGCTTTTTACAAATTCATTGTGCCTGTTTACAATTCCTAGTCTAATATCTCCTTTAACATTTTTGCAGTTATAATGTTAGATCTTAAGTACTCTCCACCTGAAAAACTGTGGGCTTGCACTTAAGGATAGAAATGTTTGATGAAATTAGACAAAGGCAACAAAACACTTACCTTCCCATTCAAATTCATTACTGTTCTCTGAGGGAGTATCCAAATCATCCAAATCAATCTCTCCACTCTCATCCAAATCATCAGACAATACAGATTCCTCACTGCGGTCCAAAGTTAAGCTAATATCAGGTGCCACTAGTTTCTTCCTCACTTTGTTCCCATTATGTTCTGCATTTAAAAAGCACGCTATTTACTTCTAAAGTTAAAGCAAGTTTAGACAAGTATATTTACTAGAACAGCTTTGTTTTTTAAAAAAAAAACAAAGTGCATGATAAGAAATTAGCCATGACTTGAACAATGTGTCTTTAGAACAACAATCAAAATAAACATCGGGTGAAAAAAACAGCACTTGAGTTAAGTTCTCAAGTCCTTAAGTATCCCCTATTGCATCTGCATTATGATGACAGGAGTAGACCCACCATATATCTTCCAAGAAAAATCCCAAGTGCTACCACCACCTGATACTCCATGCTAGCTAGGTCCAAGTGCTCCACAAGCCTTTCCAGATGTTATGCTAAGTGTTAGAGTGCAGTACATCAAGGTTTTTAGCTCTTGTTTTGGCTAGATATTGTTAACATCAAAACCACCTTGAGGGTGGGGAATATAAGCCACAACAAAGGCTGACGGGTAACAGAAAGGACAGAAAGCCAAAGAAACTAGTAAGCCAACACACAGCATGTTTTGAGACATATAGCAAATACTTGCGTGTTTTAGACAGCAGTTGAAAGCAGGGAAGAAAATAAAATGACTGATCCAGCACTGGAAAGGTCAAAGCTAAAGCAGACAAACAAGATGAAATAAATAAAAACAGGGAGCAGGGTGGAAAAAGCACCTGATTTCCTCCCTGATCTTCCAGAGGCAGAAGATTCTTAGAGAGGATTTTTGGAGTCCTGAAACTTGGAGTGAGACTAAGCTAGGCCTCCACTGTTACTCAAATATCAAATGAGCCACTATTTTTCAAAAAGGCCAGGAGAAGAGAGTACTAGATAAAAACAGAACTGTCCTCATATTACCTGCATAGCTCAGTTTAGAGGGAGGATAATTATTCTCAGATGTTTTAATTCCAAACACATGGAATTGTTTTGATTAACAGGTTTATGATACTGATCACACAAAACTTACTTATAACACTGTTCCCTCAAGCTTGACAAGAATTTTAAGGCAGCTACCTAAGCAAGTAGAAGTTTGACTAGGGTGAGGTGTTCTTACCAATTTCACCTTCTCTTCCAGCCTCAGCCAAAACATCTGAGTCAACAGGATCATCCTCTGGCAGGGGCCTGGTGCAAGAAGTAGAAAATATTAGTTCAAAAGAGTCTCTTTGATAACCAGGTAAATGCAAAATGCTTACTCATTAACTGCTAAAAAAAATTCACTGTGGCCAAATATACTTTTGGTCTAAGATCAGGCTGTCAGCAAGCTGAGTACTGAAATAGAAGGAAATTCCAGCATTCAGATGATCATTTGTTTATGTGATAAAAACTAGAATACTGGTTGCTATTATACTGACTGGCACCCTTCAGAGAATTTGGCATATTCTTGCTGTGAAAGTCTGATGTTAAACACATCAGAGGAGTAGTTTCATCACTTGATTATAAAATGCCTTGGAAGTCAGCTGCTTTACTGCCTCTCAAGGCACAAGCATTCTCACCTGTTAAGTGTCACTTAACCAACTATTTGTAGTTGTAATTACAAAAGGTTACCATAGTAGAAAAAAAATTTGTAATTTTCACTTCAGTAACATTCAAAACTAACAGTGGTATTCTTTACCTTACCAGGTAAACCATACCAGGATTAGACCTGAAGAGATCCCTCCCCAGCCCACTGAGAAGCACACCACAAAAATCTTTGAGACTACTACATTACTGGAAATCACTTCAAAACTATTATTAAGCACTGATTCATCCAGACCAGACAGAAGTAGCTTTTTTTTTCTCCTGTATGTTAAGAATATGATTAATGAATTATATTTAACCTTGGAAAATCTTCATCTTGCCATTCTTCCTTAAACTCCACACCTTCCATTCTTCTCGAGTTACTAATAGAGACTCCTGACCAGCCAGAAGCTCTTCTCTCCACAAGAACGGGTTATAAAGGAGCTGCAGAAACAGATAGCAGAAGACACTAGTTCAACATGGTTGGGATTCCAGTATGTACAGTGTGCCCTTTCATTTACCTCTGCAAGGAGATGTTATGCAGGGGGGGAAGGAGAGCTCTTTACTTCTGCCCTGTCCCATCCCTTCTTTCCCTTCCCCAAAAAACAAGCCAACAAAACCTCAGAACACAGAGAACAGCTCTCTGCTATACTGGTTGGATTTAGGTAGGAAGGCATCTCTGGAGTGCATGCAGTGCAGTGACTTGCTCAGGCAGGATCTACTTCCAGGTTAAAATCAAGACCTTAAGCAACCTGATCTATTGTTTGTGTTACACTAGTTCCCTCTAAAGAGATTATACAAAACTTGAAAATTTGAGATTCTATGAGATAGTGAAAAAACAAACAAAAAATTAATCAGAAGGAAAACAAAACCACAAACCTGATGGTCAGGTCTAAAATACAGCCCAGTTCCTAAAAGAGCAATTTCAAGGTAACTCCCTGTTACAGAACTGGTTTGTTCAGAGAACTCACCCCAGGACACGCAACTCAAGCCACAGTTTTCCAGGCTCACCCATCACCAGCAACACGGAAGCCCCGATAATGGGACAACACAAACCATTCTGGTGGCACACAAGTTAACGTCTCATCCAGTTCAAACTTTTGGCAGCACTGGCTCTGAAATTAACAGGAACAAATAAGCTTATTAATAAAGGAACTAATAAAATCAACACTTAGCAGCATAGGAAAATACACAGTATTTTCAAATGCACAGAAGCAACACAGACCACTACTAGGTACAAAGCCTGGACCACATCACCAGTCAAGCCAGAAGCAACTTATATTTCAAATGAGTAAGGACAAGGTCACACTTACTGTTCTGAAGGACCCTCCTTTATAGCAACATCCAGAATTTTTTTTCCTGACCTGATTTAAACTGGATGCACTGAAAGAAGTCCTGCAGTTCCTAAGGCAACACCACACACATGCTGATTAATAATTTTTTTAAAATGATTTTCTGTAATATTGCAGTACAAGAGAAGTTGTCAGCAAAGCACACTTAGACTCTTTGCTGTCATTTCCCTCCTTCTCCCAAAGGGGAAACTGAAATAATGTTTCTACAAAGCAACAACCCAATGCAGCCAGAGGGTCAACCACTCACCCCCTGCATGGCTCAGCTGCAGGCAGGACATGCACCCAGCTACATGCACACGCTCTCCGAGAGGCTGCCACTGAGCAACTGTCCTGTCTGTTCACTCTCTTTGCCCATGTTTGCTTGAAGATAAGGTCCTATTTTGATCTACAGTAACAGGTGAATTTGCACCTAGTTATTTCTGAATTTTTGTTTTGGGTCACGTCGATGAAACACAAGAAGCTTCCTGAAAACATCCTACACAATCACATTCACACAATAGTGCAGTTACAAACAATATGGAATAGAGCAGCTGAGAAAACCCACCAAAAAAACAACGAAAGACCTTAAATCTAAAAGAAAGCTCAAGCTGATTATGTCATCTCAAAGGACAAGCCACTAGTGAAGAAAATGGGCAGTGCACAAACAGCAAAGCGCTGTCACTCTGCAGGGGCTGCAGGACCCTGCCCTGGAACACGCCTGCTCCCCGCTCACATCGCAGCTCCAGCAGCGGAGCCCGAAGCAGGAGGTGCTCTAAGACCTGGGCAAACGGCTTCTGCACTACACTGAGGAGAACAGCAGACACCAGCCAGGGACCTCTGACTCCAGCCCAGAAACAGCTCCTACCTACATCTAATTCATTGCAGTGAGATAAACCCAGTGTTCAAAGGCAGAGTTTAAAAGTTCTTTTCAAAAGTTAACAGCACTTTAAAATACTCTTACAAAAGATCTCCCATGTCACTAACAATTCTTATAAGCAGCATCTCACAAAGGTGCATTAAAAACAACCTGTTGTTCAGTGCATTGCACAATTGCAAACAACTTACGAGGAGAGTACTAAGTTCTGGGTAAGAGGCAGGAGTTTTAGATGAGTTCTACTCAGTCATCCTACTAAACATCCATATTAAGTATCAGTTTCAGATTTTTTTTGACTTGGGTAAAGTCTTACATGTAAAAGCACTATTCCTTGTCAAAGAGAAAAATGACAGATCAAGGAAGGATATTCTTAAGTTTCAGGAAAGTTAGAAAACACATAACTTTCAAGTTAGCTACTGAATAATCTTGCATCGCTAATAAAAGTGCTTACAAAGCAGGAAAAACAGATCCTAGTACTTCTGCTCACACAAACTAAGGGCAACTTCAGAGCAGTTCCTATGGCTGCCGCAGGAGCGCTGACTTCCTGTGTTTTCACTGTGCCAAACTCGCTCATTAACTCAGCAGTAACAGAATGATCTAGAAGGCTAAACTTGAAATATGTAGCACACTGTAATAACACAGCTCTTTATTAGTCATGTAGAAGAAAACCAAAGCATTTCTACCTGGTCCTGCTGCATCTCAGGGCCAGCCCAGCTTTCTCAAACAGCTCACTTCCTCCTTCTCTCTCCCCGTTGCCCCATTCTCCCCATTTTATTAGTGGAAATGGCATTTGCAGATTTGAAGCTATAAAGGTCAAATGCGTCCATGCATTGGGGAACACCTGGACAGGGCTCTGGAAGTCAGCATTAACATGGACCTCCTCCACTTCCATCCTGCATCTCCACAGACAGGTCACAACACTGGGAATGGGTGGAAAGTGGGCGCAGCAGGGAACATGCCACTAAAATCCACCAGTCTTTTGCCAGAGCTAAGGGAAGCGCATCCACTCCTGAATAAACACGCGCGAGATTCTCACTTGAAAAGGTTTCTTCTTGTACCAGAAGAGAAACACCGTCGTTCCCAGCCCTCTTTCGGGAGCGAGCCGGCAGCTTCCACGGTATCCCGCAAACACCCCTAGGGCAGGGGCAGGCGCAGGGAGCCCCACAGCAGCACCTGCGACCCTCTGAGCAGCTCTGCGAAGCTCCCACGTGACCCGGCGCCGGCAGCGCCGACCAACACACGACTGCAGAACC